TTGTCTTTTAATTTGTTTTAAGAGTGCTTGCCCTTATTTTATGGAGCATTTTCATAATAGCTTCTTTAAACTCCTTTTCAGATAGTTGCAACATGTATGTCATCTTAGCATTGGTGTCTGTTGATAGTATTTTTCTCATGTAGATTGAATCTTCCTGGTTCTTTATGTGTCAAATGATTTCAGATTATATCCTGAACATTTTAAGAAAGTATTTCAAACCTCTGAATTTTGTTAAACACTATGAAGAATGTTGATTCAAAAAAAAAAATTTTAACAGGCAATTGACCCAGTTGGGTTTAGGATGAAAGCATTGAGTAGTTTTCTTTTGATATGATTTCAAACTTTGTAGTGCAATTCTGATCTGTCCAATGTATTACCATCCAGAGGCCAAATCTGTGACTCAGGTGGTGCCTATTTCTTTATTTCTTAGAAGTACTCCTGTGAGTATGGTGGCCCTTCAAACGCTAGTCTTCCGTTCATGTTTGCCTGCAGTATTTGATCTTGAGAGTCTTCAAATGCTCCATGCGTTCTATTCAGGTTTGATGGCGTCAGTGGGACAGAAAGGGTAAATTGTGCTTCTTCCAGCTCACCCAGAAGTAGAATGTTATGCCATTATTTAATTTTTTGAACAGCTTTCCTCAAATATTTCCTGTGACTCTCTACTTCAATTCTCTGTAATCTATTATTTCATAATCCAACTAGTCATATGTTGGGTTTTCTAATTCTGTCATTCATGTTCCATATTTTTATCAATCTTGTCATATTCTCAGTAATACTTTCATATCTGATATTTTGTTCTCAGATATCATTGTTCACTAATTAGCTCTGTTCATTATAGTAATTACTTTAATATTTTAGATATACTTTCTAAAAGTTCTGTTTGCTTTCTTTTGAGATATACCATATTTTCTCAAACAACTATTTCTATTCCTTAAAAAATATCTAATTACATAGAAGTACACATATGTTTATCACATTTAAAAATAATATTCTGAGTTCACAAGATACCAATTCTCATTTTTTTGAGTATATTTTATTGTGTCTTTTTTCCATATAATTTATTATTGTTATTACTCAAGAGGAATTTAACTTTTATTTGTCTGAGGTTTAAGAAGGCCATTTAATAGAAGTTTTGTATTTGTTTCTTCAGAAGTCCCTGTGAGTTCTATGCTCATTTCTGATTTTAGAATTCTTGCACCAGTAGGGGGTGTTTTACCTTGTAGCTGTAAGTGACAAAGGTTGAGGTTTGACATTTATTATAGATGACTTTTTTCCCCACTTGTGTTCATGTGAAGCTGGAAAGCATTTTTGCTCATGTGAAAAATTTTCAAAGTTTTTTGTAGATGGAATAATCCTTCCAAGTTCCCTAAACTTCTCATTTAGAGATCAGTATTATTTTCTTCCTTTCTGATTTTGGGCACAATTCGTTGTTTCTAGTTCTGGTGTGGATGTTAAAATCTTTATTTCTTAGAGTCCGTGTATGACGTCTATGCCACTCTGTCCTAATCACTGTATCAACTGTGTCTTTTTCTGCCAGTCTTTAGCTATCGCTCTTCTTCTAGCATCTGGGAATTTTCATAATGTAAAGTTCGTTTATAAATAAACAAAATTGGACAAAGATATGTACTTATAATAGGACAAATGCAAATTCCATCTGCATTTTTGGGGTGCTACTGGGGATTGAAATCAGGGCCCCAAGCTTGCTAGGCAAGTGCTCTACCACTAGAGTCACACACCCCACCCCCACCTAGTGGTTCATCTGAAATCTTAAATCCCCTTTGCCATGTAAGGCAACATTTACAGGTTTCAAGGATTTTGACATGGAAAATATATTTGGGGTATGAATGGGGTATTATGCCTACCACAATTATTACAAGCAAAAATTTTTTTAACATTATCTAAAGGAGTTTCAGTGTGTATTGATATAATGCATAAGACAAACCCAAAGAGGTGAGGATACATGGACTATATGGTGGTATTGTTTCTATATTCTTATTGAAATGATAACATATGTATTTTAGGTAAAAAGTAAAAAGCTAAAGGCTTGGAGCATGGCTTATGTGGTAGAGCACCTGCCTAGCAAGGCACTGAGTTCAAATCCTGGTACTGCCAAAATAAAGTTTACTAAGGAAGGACACAGTGCCTCAAGCCTATAATCCTAGCTTCTCAGGAAGCAGAGATAGGGAAGATTGCAGTTCAAAGCGAGCCTGGGCAAAAAGTTCTTGAAACCCCACTTCAAATAGGAGGAGAGTGGTCCAGGCTGGCCCAGAAATAAAGTGAGGTCCTATCTCAAAAATAGCCAACACAAAAAGGGCTTGTGAAGTGGCTCAAATGGTAGAGGACCTGCCTTGCAAGTTCAAAGCCTTGAGTTCAACTCCCAGTACTGCTTCCCCAAAAGTTAAGAATGTAAAAAAAAAAGTTAAGATTGTTTATTGTATTCCCTGGAACATCAATTTGAAAAGCTGCCAAAAGACACATAGTCAAAGACACACCGATAAAATAGAATACTGAAAATACTGCCATCTATGGGTAGAGACCTGGAACGATAGTAATCATCCTTTATGGCCCAGAACAAAGAATTGTCCAAACCCCAAATGCCAGTAGCTGTAAGATTGAGAATCCCTAACCCTTAATAATATTATCACTTATTTTTAGTGTAGTTTTGTAAGCTTTGCACTTTAGTTTTATTGAGACAATTCTCTCCCCTGTCTCTATACTCATATTTTAGTGGTTTTCATATATGCAATTAGATGGAATAATTAAAGTAGGAGGTTCAATAGAAATAATTTGGGGTACAAAATCCCATGGCTCTGGAGGGAGCATAAGTATGTGCAGAGGTGTAGAGTAGTAGAGACAAGCCCATTAGTCACTAGCTTTCAGCAGGTGGTGAGTCAGCAAAGTTTAGGGAGCTTCCTAATTTTGTGAGTTGATTGAGTACAAATGGGTTAGGAGAGCTTCTGCATCTAAATATGTGTGTATATGTAAACTTACATTCCTTCCATTTTCTCTTCCATAGTAATTTAAATAATATAACTACTTATAATTTATTTTATGTAACTTTTTAGATATTTATTACAGTTTATTATTTTGGATGTATTGCTATAGAAAGAGCTTTAGTTCCCTGAGAAATAATTTCCTTTTAATGAATTTCATTTGTTGTAGTTTTGTAACTTTGGGAAGTTTTATAACAACCAGAATCCATCAAATGTTAAGTACTGGAATATTTCTCAAAACTTAAAAAGTTAGACATAGAATTAAGTGGAAAATTTGATATGAAGAATTAATGACTTGGAAAAAGTCCTCAAATTTTGATTTTTTTTCTCTGAAAAATTCCAGGAATAAAGCTAAAAGCTCCCCTCCCCCACTACAGTGATACACATACACAGTAAGCCCACCTTATTCACGTATGTATTGCATGCGGTTTGACAAATGTGGTAAAAATAATAATAAAAAAAAGTAATAAAAAAACTTTCCGAAACAAAATGTTTGAATTTTTGCCGAATTACGCAGCTTGGCTGATGCGGAGAAGCTCTCAGTCTGTTGTGTTTGATTCGTTGTGTGATCTGCTGCATGTTTCCCTGCCTTTAATTTTGTGAAAACCTGCCTGTGCAAAAGAAATTGTTGCCCCCCCCAACAAGGTAAAAGTTAATGTGCTTAATTGAGGGGATAAAATGAAAATCTGAGATTTGTTGGAAGACATGTTTTTAGCGCAAGTTGGGCATCCTTAGGGGAAGAATGAATCAAGCTTCATTCAGCACTGTGTTGAGTTCTACGCATTCTGATCCTCAGTGGTGTTCTCTACGGGTGTGGGCGCCTCAGACTACCCAGTAAGCATTTTAGTGACTGTAGCTGTGTAGGATCCAGTTGAAGTCAGAATCCATCTGTTAAAATAGAGAGTTAAGAAACTATTGATACAGATTAACATTTATAATCCCTGTGGAAACTCAAATTTGAAAAGTGAAGTCAATGTTTGTTGTAAAAATTTTGAATCATTGACCTTGAGTGTACTTTGGACTGAGAAGAAATAGATCACAACCAGCCTCACTTTTAATGGTCCTGAGTGTGTATGGTGAAGGAGTGGGAGAGCCTACAGCAGTGTGGTCAGCAATAGACTGGTTCTTTCCTCTCACCTGGGCTCAATCTTCCTTCTTCCTCTCTTCCTCCCTCCTTCCTCTATTATCTATCTGTCATCTGTCTATCTATCTGTCATCTATCTATCAATCATCTAAATATCTATCTAATCGTTCACCTATCTACCCTTCTCGGTGTGGAGAGGCTGTCCCCTTGACCACAGCTGGTCTTGGAGAACTCCAGTTGGTATTGGAGATCCCTAGTCCTCCATTCTGGGTTTGGCAGGGGGCGCGCGAGATCCTGGCGCTGTCCAGCAGCTCATGACTGAGTTCTCTGCGCTCTCTGAGAGGGGGAAATCTCTCCAGCGCCCCACCCCGGGCTGGGAACCGCTCCCGCAGGATTCCCATGGCTTCCCAGGCTCGCTCTCCGGTTCCAGTTCCACCTCGGGAATCTAGCGTGCTTTGGCGGCTTTCCTCCCCACGCCTGGAGAGGGTGCCCTGCGCCCCGGGGCAGCCCCAGAGCCGGAGCACGAGTGTCAGCCGGCTTCCCCTCTTTGCCTAGAAGGCGGACAAACGCCTCTCCTAGCCTTGCCTGCTGAGGCTGGGTGGTCCTTTCTCTCTCTTTCAAGACACGCGCCTGAAATCTAGGGGTGAGAGCCAAGACCGCCCATCAACTTAGCACCTTGAATTTAGATCTTAGATTGCGAAAGGAGATTGACGTCGCCAGTCGGCGAAAGGAAGGAAGGGGGGAGGGCGGGGGCCGCAGCGGCTCTGGGCTTGCAGGACCCCAGCCGGGAAGCGAGGTGCCCATGCCGAATAACGCGGAGCGCGGGCCTCGCCCTGCGGCCCCTCCCTCCTCTTCCCCCGCCCCTGTGCCCCTCCCACTCCGCGGAGCCGTCTCTCCTCCGCGCGTCTCCCGGCGCTCTCTCCATTGTCTCTGCCTTTACAACAGGTTCGGACGACGGGAAGACCGGCGGGCGAGGGGCCGCCCCAGCCCGGGCTTTCTTGGGGCTGCCTCCCTTCCTCTGGTGTGCGCGTCTCGGGCTGCACCAGTTGGGCTCGGGAGCTCATTCTGGGGCAGAGCAGGTCCAGGGCGAGTCCGACCCCTCCCTCTCCGCTTCCCTGCCTAGGGACCCCTCCCGGCCTCCGCTCTGCGTGCGGGAAGGATGTGCGCATTGGAGGCGCTAAGTTCTTCACGCGCCAGAGGGGGCCTCCCTTTTCTTTCTTAGGGAACCAAATCGTGTTAATCCTACTAATCGGTAAATCCGAGGCAGCGGCAGGAGAGGCACGCGCTATTTTCCCGCTTGATTCCAAGAACCTCTTCGATTTTTATTTTTAAGAGGGAGACGATGGACTGAGCAGACCCACACCATGGAGTCTCGGGTCTTACTGAGAACATTCTGTTTGATCTGCGCTCTCGGGGCAGGTGAGTGGTTGCAGAGTGGGGCCGGGGAGGGATGGTTTCCGCCTCAGGGCAGGCGGGGGACACCTCGTTTTTTCCTGGACTCCAGGTAGGTCTGTAGTGGGAGCTTGGAGTAGGGGGCAGATTTGGATTTGGGCTTTTTCTGGGCTTGCCTGGGAGACAGGCGGGTCACGCCCCAGTCCGGGTCTGAGGGCCGAGGGGGAACTTTGCACCGAAAGGAGCTTAAAGTAGGTCATGAAAACGGGACTGGGTGCTCCACTATTTAAAGCCTGGCTGCTGATCTCAGGTAGGGCTCCCCGTGGAGGACGAGGAAGTCGCCTCTCCTCATAGCTTCCCAATATTGTCTCCGAAATGCTGTTCTTTGCTGCTCCGGAGGAAGAGGCTTGTCTTTTAATGGAGCTTTTTTTTTTCTTTCTTTTCTGCTTCTGCCCACTGCCAGCAGTTTGGGGGCTTGGTGTGGACCCCTCCCTGCAGATTGACGTCTTAACAGAGTTGGAACTTGGGGAGTCCACAGATGGAGTGCGCCAGGTCCCGGGGTTGCATAATGGGACGAAAGCCTTTCTCTTTCAAGGTATGACCCAGCTCGATGAGCCCCCCATCCCCACTCAGTTCCTATAACCCGAGGAGGAGTTGACCTGGCCGCTCCCCTAACTTTGTGTTGCTTAGTGGATGACAGTGTTTGAGTGAGGTGTGGGGGGTCAGAGTGAGACCATAGCCCCATCTCTCTTGAAGCGGTTTGCCTTTTCTCCTTCCCCGAACCCTCTTCCTCCTTACTTTGTACCCTTGCCAGTTCCAATGGATAGTCCCTTAATTACTGAACAGAAACTCCAATGGCAGATGGTTGATTTTAGAGTCTGGGGAACAATGAATTATAACACAAACGCCTCATTTGGGTGAAATTGATTTAGGTAGGAAACAAGATAGCTTAATCTTAGTTAAGACATTGATCTTGGAAACTTTCAGGTACAGTGGTGCTCTGCTGAGAGGAAATTCTTTATGGAGTAATTTTCTGGAAAAATTAATACCTCTCGGTATTTTTACCTACGATATATCAGAAACACACTAAATTGGAGGCAAAGATTCTTCATGGAAAAGTTCATCCTTCTTCAAGACAAGAGAAAGGGAATAATAGTCTTTTTAAATTATTTTGAAAAAAATATCAAGTAAATGTTAATCTAGAAGCATAACCTCCTGTCACAATGAATTTTATGTGTAAGATTTTTTAAACTTTTTCATAAAGTCAGTAGACTCTGGCTACACATAAATGTCCATGTTTCAAATTATATTTAAGTGTGTTGTAACGTCAGAAGCAAATTTCAATGAAACAAAACATTTGATTTGATTTAACAAAACCTTAAAGAGTGCTTGGTTTGTGGAAAGGTGCTGTAATATGAGCTTCTAAAGGGTAGCTAGACATGTACAGAAAGACAACATACAGATTGTGAAGTAGAGATGAGGCAAAACGGAAATGGAGTTTGGTGTAATGTCTCTGAAGAATTAAAGCATCTTTCTTCTCCCATACCACCCAGATTTTTCTTTTGCTATATTGGAGCCATGGCTTCAGAAGAAGTGCAATTTATAATTACTGAAGAGTTGGATATGCAAAAATGCAACCACTCCAGCACATCTGTCACTAAGAAATGGAAATGAAACTTGAGAGTGTTTTTCTAGTGGTGTTGTTGCCTGATATAGCCAGTATGTGTCACCATGGACAGTATCACCAAAGCTCACAATTGGGAAAGGAAGAAATTGACATGTGTTTATTTAAAACAAGTTGGCTCTTATAACAACTTAAAATGTAATCTTATGTTTTTACTGTCATTTTAATTTAAAATTAGTGTTTTATTGTGATGATTATTTATAGCAGTATTTTTTCCACCTAAAGATCTTTTTGGGGGGGGTAGATGGGAAGGGCTTGGATATTGAATTCTTTCAAAACAATGAACAAATGTAATAAAGCTCAACTTTCAGCAAAATTTCAAAATTGGAGTATCATTAGGGCTAAGCTTTTGGTTTTTTTGCATATTATCTTGTTTTATCTCTGATTTTTGGTCTCTGGGGGATGGAAACAAAGTTATTTCAGACCGTTACTGTGAGTGACTGGAAAGCTTTGCAGAACCTAAAGTTTCTAATAAGCAAATGGTTCTGAAGTGCTCTTACAATTTCCAAAGACCTTTTAAGTTTTATTAGTGTTCTATCTTTCTCTGCAGAATGCCTGAGCTGTCACAAATAGAAACTTCCAGGACTATAAATTTTATGTAAAACATTTGTTCGATTAGATATTAGACAATGACAAAGAAGTAGTCTCAAGGGTTCAGGTTAATTTAAACATAATGTTTAATATTTATTTCTATTTAAATGGTCACCTTCAAGGTAGGGTTTGTGTTCCAGACACACAAAGCAAATGAAATATGTTTTCTCTGAACTTTCCTCAGTAACAAGATGTCAGTGTACATTGATGAGTTGCTTGTTTTGTTTCTAGGTTAATACTGAGGCCAATATTTAGTGTGTCATTGGTGGTAGGTATAGAGGCAAGCCCAATATTAGAAAAAGTAAATGCCTCATATGTATAGTTTATTATTTGAAGATGAGAAATTTACTTCCTGCCATATTATGTACTTTAGTTCATATAATCAATCAACCAATCAGTAAGTATTCTCAGGAGGCATATACGCTGATGCTGTAGTGATTTTTCTCATTCTAAGATTGACAACAAGTGAACTTTTTATTCTGTGTGGCAGTTCTGCATTACCTTGGATAGGTCCCTTCTCTCCTGTTAGGATGTGGAAGATATTGTTAAGAAGTCATCTCTGAGACTTGCTGCTTTCTTGGATTCCATGGGCTTTAGAGATACAAAAACATTTAGACTGGGAAGATTTTTCATTTATAGTGAATTGAGGGTGCTGAAAATAGCTTCTATAGTATATCAAATGTCATAACAGGAATAGAAACAAATTACAAAACTGGTGGGATGCTCTCACATTTCACTTGAACCTGTTATACAAGTTGCTTTGTTTTATTAGGTATGTCCTAAATAGATAGAAGAGATTCTGAGCCATCAAATTTCTCCTGCAATAGCCAGGAGAAATTCTGGTTATTAGCTTCTGTCTCTTAGCTTTAAAATAAAGAAATGTCAACATGTACTTGCCCAGTTATTTTTTTTTTAACCTGTTTAACATTGCTTCTTCCTTTTGACTGTTTCTTTACTGAGTTCTGAGATGCATGCAATTCAGTACTTTTTGAAACTATGAATAATTTTTGAAAATTATTATGTATTACAAATCCATTATTACTTAACATTTTTATGTGCATAATAAAAACAAATGGGGATATATTTCACTATCATAACTTTTTGATTATAACAGCAACCATAGTATCACTTAAATGGTTTTATTTTTGTGGGAATGTGATTTGTAGTTGACTTGGAAATTTAAGTAATAAGACGTTAACTTAATAAATGTGGATCTGTACCAGTTAGAATAATTTTTAAAAATAGTTCCAAGCAATAGTTTAGAATTCACATTCCAAAGATTATGTAGTCATTTCTAGTTATAATCTGACTCACAGCCACAAAATACACATAATATGCTTTAAAAGACAGAGATGTGAATGTTGGTAATGAAAAGGGCTATACAATTTGTAAAGAGTTCTAAAATGTTAGTGACTAGTGCAATTATAAATAGAATTCTGCCTATCTTGTTTTAAACTCTAGGAAATATTTTACAAGATAATGATCATAATGTTATTTCCTCTGGGTACTGAGAGATCAAGAATGAGAGGATACAGAAACAAAGTCCTGGGATTTTCTAGATCTTTTATTTTAACAATTCATCAGGCCAGGTTCCCAAAATAGATAGTTTCATCTTTTGGCTTAAGAAATTTTCTTCTGAAGTGTTCATAGATTTTGTTATCTCAATAATCCTCACAAGAGAAGTAGATTAAAATCAAAGCATATTTTTCTTGAGTTGATTATTTAAAAATAAACTTTGTAATTATTTTTTGATAACTTTAATATTTAAAAAGGAAAATAAATGTTCACAGGTTTACTTTTACACCAGTGTTTGAAAATATGGTATTTTGTGGTAAGCCATTGACTTTACTAGGCAAAGGTAACTGCATTAAGCAAAATAAGGTGGCAATAAGTACTGGTCTTCAGTGTGATACTGAGTATCTGTGACCTTAGGGGTATTGATCATTGGTACCCCATAAAGCAGAATAACAATACGATTAAGAAATGGGCTTAGAAACCAGATAGACATGGATGAAATCTCACAAGTTTTGTTACTATGGTGAAGATACTTGATTTCTCTGAGTTTCGGTACCTGTGTTAGAGTTTTCTTTGCTATAACAAATACCTGAGAATAACAGTTTAAAGGAGGAAAGATTTATTTTGGCTCATGGTTTCAAAGGTTTCAGTCCATGGTTGGCTGGCTCCATTGCTTTTAGGCCTGTGACAAGGCAGAAACATAAAGGAAGGGGATGGTAGAAGGAAGCTGTTTACCTCATGGCATTCAGGAAGGAAGGAGAGAGATAGGAAGGGGCCAGGGCCAGGATAGGCTTCCCTTTCAAAGGCGTACTTTCAGTCACCCACCTCCTTTTACTAAGCCCCACCTTCCAGAGTTCTACCACTTTCCAATAATCTGTTCAGTTTTTTAATCTATCATTGGATTAACTGTTGATTAGGTTTAGCCCTCATAATCAAATCACATTGTAAAACATCCTATCACAGTAGCCTCAGTTATAAAATGAACATTATTATGCAGATAAAGTTATAGTCATTCAAACAAATTGTTGTGTGACTACTATATTGCAAGCTGTTAGACATATGTAATGAGTAAGTTAGAACTCAGCTTTACCTTCATCGTGCTAACAGTAGCCATCAAACAACTACACAGGTAATAATTTAATCACTATTAAGACAAATTATATGAAAAAGTAAGAGTGTAATGTAATGGGAATCTATAGTTTAGAGAGTTATAAGGCTAGGGAAACCATCTTGAAGGAGTCACTTATGTTGAGAAGTGAAGGGTATTTAAGAGTAGTCTGAGAAGAGAGGCTGGGGGATTCAGGAAATAAGAATAACAGGCAAAGGAAGTATGAACAAAGATCCTGAGCCTAGAATGAGCATGGTTCATTTGAGGAAATGGAGGAATTCTAGACAATTGTAGGCATAGGGGTTGTGGTATAAAATGAAGCAAATGAATAAAGCAGGTTCCATAGTAGAACACATTAACAGCAGAATTGAAAAGTTATTATACAAAGATGTATTGTGAGCAGAATTATGGCCCTCCAAAGATGTTCATGTCTTTATTTTTGGAACCTGAGAATTTTTTTGTTGTATGGCAAGGGGACAATTGAGGTTGTAATCAGCTGATCTTAAGACAAGGAGACTATCAGGGATTATGTGGGAGTTGTGTAAGTCTAAGACTCCTTTAAATCTGGAGGAGTCAGGTAGAAGTCAGTATCAGAATGCTGTGATGTGAGAAAGACTAGACCAGCCATTGCTGGCTTTGAAGATGGATGTGGGCCAGGAGCTGAGGAGTGCTGGCTGGAAAAGGCAAAAAATGGGGT